CTTCTTTCTATCAGTCACTGCTCCCAGTGATTTCCAAAATGGAATCCTTCCATGCTTCAGTGCAAGACACGACAGCAGTCATTCGCCTTAATTACAGAGTGTTGAATGGAATTAACTGATGTCGAGCAACTGAGCTTTTATGGGCTTCACTCTCATGGCACTTTTATGACCTCGCACGGCTGAGAATTCGGCTGCTGCTGGAGAATCCCATTCGTTCCTTGTGGCTTTCTTTGAAAAAGCTTTGGGGGCTTCCATTTTGAAATGCATCTGGCAGCCCACCACCCTGCCCTCTAAGAAGACTTCCTCTCCCATCACATTTCCACACACACCCTCCATCCTTCTAGGCTAAACCACAAATACTATTCCTCTTGTCCTGTTTTTAAGAACTTATCTAGTTGGTGTCTGCAAAGCAACACAATGGTGTGTCAATACAATGTAATTACAATGCATGCAGACGCTCACTCATTTTCTAGTCTCTTTAAATGCACCCATTAGTGTTTGCCCCCAGGTGAAGCCTGGAAGAGACACGTTTTTCCATCTGTATCTAGCAAATGCTCTTTTTTATTACTGATGTGCTCCAGGGAACTTGCAGTGGCTCCAGTGTGGATCCAGACCCTTGTGTGTGGTGTGAGTTACACCCTTGAAAATTTGGATCAGGCTCCCTGCAGCTATCTAGAGTAAAAATGGTGGAGGGGAATCAAATTTATTGCTAGTCAAGCATTAAGAGAAAACTGGTATATAAGATGTTCTGTTGGTGGTACATTACTCCAAACGATATTGAAAAAATTCATAAGAATTACAATGGAAAATGCTGGGAAAAGAATAGGTGGACCTGTGAAATAATGAAAAGATTTAGGAAACAGATACATGCAAAAAAATTAAAATTCGGTTTCCTATGAGTCCCATATATATGCTTCTGAATATAGTGCCAGAGATCTTTCCAAAAAATACGTCAGAGTTATTTAAGTATATGACAACTGCAGCAAGAATCACAATTACTTCTAAATGAAAATCATTGGCGCTCCCAACAACTGATGAATGGAAAAATAGACTAGCTGAATATGCAATGATGGCAAAGTTAACTATGTAAACAGAAGACCGCTAGAAGAATTTAATGATAAATGGAAATTTTACTATGTTCAGCATGACTAATGGGATTTGAGGGAGTCTGGAAAAGAAAAAAAAAAGCAGTAGAGGATTTGAGATGATTGGAATATTTGTTGTTGTATAGATTAACAATTTCTTTTTTTGATAAACTCTCACAGAGTGTTGGAAGATAGAAAGATGATCAATTTGGGGGTTTGAAAGTATAGGTTGCATTTGTTTAGAATTCCCTTGGCAACTTTGTTCATTGTAGTTTGTTTTGTTTATTTTAGTTTGCTTTGTTTCCTATTCCTTCTTAGGGACCTGTTTATGTTAGGAAAATGAAATTTAAAAAGAGATCCCAGCCAATCAGGGAGCCATGTCAGTGCTGTGTAGCCAATCAGATTGAACAGCTTGTTCCTTTTGGCTTATGAAGCCTGGTAGAGGGTTGCCAGCACTTCTTGTATGGGCCATATGGGCAATCCTACCCAGTCAGAGATTGCTTGGTTGGGACCACAGCCCCAGAGTAGTGCAGTTGCTGAAAGGGTCAGAGAGAATCTACTGGGGGGTGGGGGGCTTGCTTCAGACCCTGAGATCAGTTGCCAATTACAGTGGACAGTATTGGACAAAAAGCCCTGACCAAATACAAAACAGTTCCCATGCAGAGGAAAGGAACATTTGTCCTATGGTGCTCGTTGTAGGCCTACGAAAGAGAGCAAGAGAGAGAGAAACCCCAGGGGAATTATCATCCTGCACATGATAATCATGTCTCCATGTCCTGTAATGAACTTCCAGCTTTCCAGCTCAACCCCCTTGAGGCTCCCTGATTGTTCTTTCCCCACTTCCCTTGATTGGTTTTGTCTCACTTGCCTTGATTGCTTCCCTGTCAAATGATTGTGTGGCATCTCCCATGACCTTAGCATTTATCTTTCCGCATTGCTGTGCCTCCTTCGTCTGGCCTTTTATTTATGTATTTGGGTGGGAGAGGAAAGAAGGTGTCTGATGCTTGTCTAGCAGGTTTTGGCCCAGCTCTCACATGCTACAATCTGCTCAGAGAGATTTCTCTGATTCTGAGGAGGTGGCAAAGGGGCATTTTCAAGGTTCCCTCATAAAGATGTTCATGCAAGGCATGGGAACCAGCTCACCCTGGGAAAGGAGGGAGGCACTTCGGATAGATGGGGAGAATATGCCAGGAGAGCACCTTGACCCAGTCAGGAGATGACAGATGACAGGAGTGGACGGATGGAGCAGTGCCCAGCATTCCGGGGTATCTACCTAGAGAGACCCTTAAGGTGGAGTTGGAATCTTTTTTGAAAAGGGAAGTTTCAGTTTGGATCCAGCTCTTGACATGGGCAGAGGCTTCTCTCACCTCTCAGAGAAAAGGCTAAGTTGATTTATACTGTTCTGTAACTTGGAAAGCTTTAATAGAAGCTTCTCAAGTTTCATCTGAGTCTCCTGGTGGGGAAAAGGGGTTGGGGGAGAAGTATGCTCAATATGTTTCTTTATATAACAATTTATTTATCTTGATATCCCTCCTCTTTTCTTCAAGGATCCTGAGGCAGCCAACAGATGTGTCCTCCTCCTCCCTCACTCTGGTTTATCCTCACAACAGGTAGGTAGGCTAGGCTGAGATACGACAAAAGCAATCCAGTGCATTTCATACCCAGGTGGGGGCTAGAACCTGGAGCTCCTGAATTGCAGTCCACACTCTAACCACTCTTCCCCACTGTTGCACATTTGCTGATGGATTTGAATACTTGTAAGGCACTTTGGGAACCCGCTTTGGCCAGGAAAGCTGGATATGCCAATACAACTAAGAGCTCAGATAAACCCATAGAAATCAACATTCCCCAGGGCTAGCAAAGAAACCAGAGAGACTAGTGAAAAGGGGTTCAGATTGTAATGTAACACAGCCAGGGGTAGATTTATCCATGTTTACCCCTGCTAAAAAGGGGGCAGGTTCGGTCTCCATGCAAATAGCATCTTTGAAGGCTGGTAAATACTTTTGCAGGCCAGTAACTTTACTAGCCTTGTTTACAAGGCCATAACAGCTACTGCAATATTAATGCTAAAACCCAAGCAAACTTTCTAGAAATGTATTATAGAAGCCAGTGCGCTCCACTGAGGCAGCAGAGGAAAAAACAACAGACAGATGCCACAAAATAGCATTCATTAAGCACTTGGGAGAATAAAACTGTTTTAAGCTGGCATGAAAAAGAGCTTCATTCAGTTGTGCCAAACTCACAATTGCAGGGACATTGCTTAGGCAGAATATAGATGGCACCATGGAAAAGGAACTATCCCAACTCTAGGCACCCACCTAGAACACTTTGTAGAAATTAAACAAAATGAGCAGACAGCAGAACCTGGTGTTCTAGGAGAGATAGAAGCTAGATTTCCTTAGACCCCGTGGCTGAATGGCGACTAGAACCCATTCATTGCCCCCTCCATCCCGATTTTCTTCCCCCAACTCCTCAGTTGGTCACTATTGTACCCCCAGCCTTTTATTTGGCCTTCCTCCCCATTTGGGGTATTTTTTCTTTTCTCCCCCACCTTTGGCCCTTCTACAAAAGTTGAGATTCCCCAGCGCTGGAAAACCACCCGCTTAGTTCCATCTCGACTACAGAAGCAAGGACTTTCACAGAGGAGCGAAGAAAACAGTGGGAGAGATGAAGCCATGGGAAGCTCGCCATCCATGATCCCACTTGGGAAAAAGACCGGAACGCTTAGAAAATCCAAGGAAAGGAGGACGGGGGTGCAGTGGGGGCTAATAGCTGCGTGCGCACGCGCGTTGCTCAAGAGAGGTCCGTGCACACTGCGCACTCAGAGAAGCGGTTAGCCCAGCCACTTCCGCCTGCGCAGCCGCAAACTTTGCGCACGGAAAACCGCGGCAGAAGGGGCGCGTCTGGAGCCACGTGTGCGCAGGTATTGTTGTTATTATTATTATTAAAACATTTCTATGCTTTAATAGGTAGTGGGCGCAAGCGTGCCAGGATCTCTGAAAGGAAGCGCGTAGCCAGGCGAAAAAGCGCAGCCGTTGGGCCGGGCGTTGAGAAGGCGCAGGGGCGCGCGCGCGGGGGAGAGGGGGCTCCGTCGGGCGAGAGAGGCGCCCGGCGTGCCGCTGGCTGGCGGGAGGGGCCGGGGTCGTCTCCGCAGCCTTGGGCGGCTGCGCCGGCGCGCCTCGCAGGACCCCTCGTGGTGCAGCTGCGGCTCAGCCTCCCGGCCCGTCTCGGCAGCCGTTCTTCCCGCTTTTGGGGTGCCCCGGGCCGGCGGAGCGGCGCGCTTCCTCGCTGCGCTGCGCTGCGCTTTTCCCCGACGTGTCCCTCGCCTCTTCGCGCGCCTCGCCGTCTCCCGCTGGAGAGGCCGGTCCCGCCGGGGGAAGCAAACGCTGGGGGTCGGGGGGCAGAACGAGGCCGGGCGCGCGCGCGTGCTGCCCCGCCCCAAGTCAGCCCACAGTTGCATCCTGCACGTGTAGACGCACCTGGAGCTGCTTCCCCCTTTCCCTCCCATCCCTCCAAGCCTGCATTGCAACAGCAGTCGCCGGCGTCTTGCTACAGTTTATCTTCTCCAGATGCCTTGTTGCTTTGTTTTGTCAAAAGCTGTTATTTTTTCGGCCGGGGCTTAGTTTCTCAGGCAAAAGGAAGGCCCTTCTTGCAGAACAGACTGGGGGTGAGCGGGAGAGATCTGTCCTGCATACCTGAATTTCACTGCAGCTAGGAAGGACTCTTGGGACGTTTCCCTACCCATTCTTGCTCCTTCCCAAGCTATAAATAGATCCGGGGTTTGTTTTGTTGGATGTAGTAAAGTTCAATTCTGATCAAAATGGAGCACGGCAAGAAGGATGGTTTCTGTGCTGAGGAACAGCGGAAAAAAACGGGCCATGGGTGGCAGATCGGCCAGGAATTTCTGGAGTATTTGAATGACCCCAGTGTTTCTACTGATCTTGAGCAGTAGATAAAGTGGTTGATGAATTAATAGGACAGGTGAACTCTAGTAATTATAAGGTCTCATTAGTTGGATTAGATCTTGTAGGTGCCTTTGTTGACAGACTCAAGAGATGCTTCAAATCCTATATAGGACCTGCCTTTCAGTGTTGATGGATTGAATGGGTGATGCCAAAGACTAGGTTTGTGAACCAGCACAGAATCTTGTTTTGACGTTAATGGATCAAGCAGCTCCACTGATGTTAATTTGGGGACATCTTGGTGGTGGCTTGAAACACAAGAGCTACCGTTCAGGAGAAGGAGAGTGTGATTGTCTTGTTGCAATGTTAAATGCAAATGGCACGCAATCATTAATTCTCAGCAAACTGATTCTGCACTTCTGCATCTTGTTGCAATATTCGCAATTGTGGAACTTTATAGACATGAAGGAAAGAAAGAATAGGGGACTTCCCTCTGCAAGATTACAAACAATAGTTATGATGTTTAATGAAGTGAAAAATTGTGGTGATATGATTTCAAGCAACAACAGTGATAAAAACTTTGATGATGAAGAATCAATAGATAGAAATAGGCCATTTTCAGTTGCTTCAGCTATCAAGGTTCCTGCATCTGAGAAACCCAGAGATCCTTCAAATACTTCAAAAAAGTCAGGTTCTGCTGGTAGGCCTAAGGTTGGAGGCACCACCAAAGGAGGAGAGGCTGGTGCTGTTGATGAACATGATTTTATACAGGCATTTACAGATGTTCCTACTGTCCAGATCTTCTTGAGGCATGAACTTGAAGAAACACTCAATAAAATCAGGGAAATCTTGTCAGATGATAAACATGATTGGAATCAAAGAGTTAATGCACTTAAGAAGGTCTGGTCATTACTTGTTGCTGGGGTTGGACAATATGATGGATTTTCCCAGCATTTTCGGCTGTCGGATGGAGCATTAAATTGTCAGCTAAAGATCTCAGATCACAAATGGTTAGAGAAGCATGCATTACAGTAGCTCATCTTTCAACAGTTCTAGGAAATAAGTTTGATCATGGTGCAGAAGCTGTTGTGCCTATCCTGTTTAATCTGGTCTCTAACAGTGCCAAAGTTATGGCTGCTTCTGGGTGTGCAGCCATTAGATTAATCATCCGACATACCCCTTCTCCCAGATTTATACCTTTCATAGCCAGCAACTGTACCTCAAAATCTGTTGCAGTCAGAAGGCACTCTTGTGAATGTCTAGACCAATTGTTGCAAGAGTGGCAGACTCATTCACTGGAAAGTGATGCAGCTGTCTTGGTTGCAGCCATCAAAAAAGGCATTCATGGCGTTGATGCTGAGACCAGAGTGGAAGCAAGAAAGACTTACCTAGGTCTAAGAAATCATTTTTCAGATGAATGTATAATGTCCAAGGTGATGTATAATAATCCTGAGCTGCCCTATCAAAGAAGCCTTCATACATACTTAAAGGGGATATAGGGCTGTGATCACCCGGAGAGCAGTATTTGGAAGGCTCATGTATTCTGTCTCGTGGCCATTCATGCAGCCCGTGGGTGATGAGCTGAAGCTACATCTCAGTCAGCTCTCTGGCAGCAAAATGAAGCCGTTGGAGCATTACATCGGACGTACAAAGAGGCTCTGGGGCAGGTGATGCAGCTGCTGATGTTCTTGGACAAAGCCAGGGAAGCTCATGCCATCTAAGAGGTCTTCTGAAGAAAGCCAGGCAGCCAAAGGAAAAGCCTCAAATGCCACCTTTTGGAACTCTTAATCCATCTCCAAGAGAAAAACAGAATTAATAGCATTAGATCGAAGCGAAATAGAACTCAGAACACAAATGCATCATGTTTTCTGTTCACACTCTTCTGTGTGTTTTCTCATTGATTTTGATCAGTGATACTGTACATTGTTCTTTTAAAAAAGAAACAGGGATGCTTTAAGCTGTGAAAGCTTTTTAAAAAGGAAGAAAATCTAGGGAAGGAAACATCTTCGATTCATCCCTCATTTGCACGGAATGCTTCTTCTAATGCCAGGGCTGATCCGGAGTGGCAGGCAGCACACACAGGGGCCTGTGAAGAATTCTTATTTATGCTCCTGTGGGGCTCATGGTCAGGACTGGTTTAGGCAGAGCCCCTCAGGACACTGCATTAAATTTAGAAACAGATTCATAGCTCCAATCGTTCAGCACACATAGGCCTAATATCTTCAGCTGCAAGCATTTGCTACGGCAAGACTATTTCATTAGTGCTCATGTTCCAAAGGGTGGCAAAGGGGTTCTGTTATGGTTGGTTTGGAGTGTTTTGGCCTGCAGATGTCCTGGACTACGCCTCCCGCCTCCTCATCCAGTGTGGCCGATGGTCACCAGGGATGGTGAGATATGAGGTCGAAAACATCTGGAGGACTGACTCTGGGAGCTGCCTCTTCAAAAAGCTCCTGGGCTGGTCTTCATTAAGGTTTTCCTGTGTGGCTGCCATAAAGACCTGTTAGGCTGGCAAGCTACAGGGACTTTTTCACTGTGGCCCCAATACTGTGGAAGTCCATTCCTATTGACATGAGCCTCACTTCTTTGGCGAAAGGCTTTGTGTGAGCCACACAGAGACCTCTCTGTTTAAAGTTGCCTTCAACTGAATCCGTAATTGGCTTACAGGATTAAAGCACCTTTACAAATCGTTCTGTAGGTTTGCTCTGCTAACTGTTGTGCTATCTCGTCTCTTCTTCATACTTCCATGTTCATGAGGGCATCGGCCTAAAGAGTGGCTTTAAAAGATGCTTCAGAGCAGCAGAATAAGAATATCTCTGCCCCACATAGAATCATACAATACTAGAGTTGGAAGGGGCCAAGAAGGCTACCAGGTCCAACCCACGGTTGAAGGACACTAGGTTACACCATCCCACTCTGTCCAGTTTCATCCTGAATGCCTTCAATGTGGAAGAGCCCATGCCCTTTCAGACAACTTGTAATATTGCTCTGAAATTTAGGACATTTTTCCTGATATCTAGCCTGAATTATGGCCAACAGTCAGAGCAGATCGGCAGATGGGAACTGTGGTTCCAAACATTCAGAAGACAGCAAGTGGGATGTAGTTTGGGGACCTCTCCATTTTAAAGCTGTTTTCACATTTAAGTGTTGCCATGAAGCTCAGCCTAAAGATCCAAACATCTTTCTCTAAACCCCCACCTGAGACAGCTTGCACAGCTGTGAGCAGGTCTAGAAGGGCTGGGAGAAACTCGGCTTCCCCAGTTTTACAGGTGACCTGAGTGCTGACTGTCCAGTTTCTTCTTGAATGTCTCCAGTGTGGGAGAGCCCACCGCCACTCCAGCAGCTGGTTCCGCTGTCCTATTGCTCTGACCGTGAGGAAGCTTTTCCTGATGCCCAGCCTGAATCTGGGTTGTTGCAACTTGAATTGATAAATTCAATTTAAGAAGCATGGAGACAACCTGCAAGAGGTCCAGAGGAGGGCAGCACAGAAGGCCAGCAAGATGAGAAACAAACCCAGTGAGGACAAGTTGGAAAAACTAGCATGTTTAACCTGGAGATGACAGGATCTGAGGGTGAACTTGAGCTCCAAAAGGATGTCGAATAGAAATTAACAGACTTGTTCTCTAGCTTAGCTGACACCGAATGGTCTTATCCTGTAGGCCTTTAGATTTCAGTTCAACATTAGGAGAAATGTTTGGCTATTGGGTAGTATAAAAATGGAATGAATGAAGGAATGAATGAATGGAAAGGGTTGCTCTGCCCTTCCTCACTGGAAGGCTTCAAGAAAATTCAGGGCATCCACCTATGCAAGACACTCAATGTTTGGATTTCCTGCACCCAGTGAGAGCTTCATTCCACGGCCTGCAGATGTTGTTGTTGTTAGTCACAAAGTCATGTCCGACCCATCGCAACCCCATGGACAACATTCCTTCAGGCCTTCCTGTCCTCCACCATCCCTGGAGTCCACCCAAGCCCACACCCACCGCCCCAGTGACCCCATCCAGCCACCTCATCCTCTGCCGTCCCCTCCTCCTTTTGCCCTCAATTGTTCCCAGCATGAGGCTCTTCTCCAGGGAGTCCTTCCTTCTCATTAGGTGGCCAAAGTATTTGAGCTTCATCTTCAGGACCTGGCCTTCTAAAGAGCAGTCAGGGTTGATCTCCTCTGGGACTGACCGGTTTGATGGCCTTGTGGTCCAAGGGACTCGCAGGAGTCTCCTCCAGCACCACAATTCACAGGCCTCAATCCTTCGGCGCTCAGCCTTCCTTATGGTCTGCAGATACGACCCTCCAAATAATGTGTAATTGTAAGGTTACTCCAGTGTTGATGGCTACTAGGGTAGATGTCTTTAAAAGGTGGCTAGACACTTTAGTAGAGGCCAGGACCAACCGTTTGTTTGTTTGTTTAAGTATTTGCTGCCTATTTTGGTAACAGCATCTCTAGGTGGCCTACTCTGTAAACATTAACAGCATCCCTGGACAGCTCACAGTAGTAAAAGAATTAACTATAAAACTTTACAACACTAATAAACCAATTAATCTATAAATTCTGATTAAATTAATCTACTCAACCTCATAGTAGCATCCATGGGAGGAATCAAATATTAAAACAACTTTTTTTGAAGAGATATGTTTTTGCCCGACGCAGAAAAAAAGACAAGGATGTTGCCAGGCAAATCTCTTTAGGGAGGGCATTCCAGATATGGGAGCAGAGGCAGAAAAAGGCCCTCTTTCTGTGAGCCACCCCTCTTTCTTCCCTGAAGGATGGCTGCTGCAAAAGGCTCCCCTCAAAGGTTGGGTGGGAATATATGGGTGCAGACAAACTTTAGATAACCAGGGCCTATGCTGTTTAGAGCATTATACGAGGGTCCCCCCCCCCCCAAAAAAAACCCAGGAATTTATTTATGAAAAACTAGGTATTTGTTTTTACATGTTCACACTTCAGTCACCTTCGAAGTACTCTCCGTTTGATGCAATACATCTAACTGGCTTTGAACTCATTGATTTTGACGCCTTTTAGTGCTTCTGCTTTTTTGGTTTCACCTCTTCCACATTGGCAACACGTTTCCCTTTGAGGACTTTTTCCATCCAGGGAATCAAAGAAAAAAAAGTCACACGGGGTGAGGTTCAGTGAATAGGGAGGGTGGGGCAAAGGGGTGACGCTGGTTTTGGTCAAGAACGGCTGGACACTCACCTGAACAAAATTTCACCACCGTGCATTTTTCATGCAAATCGGCCACCACGGAATAGGCAAATGCATTGGAAGAGTCTCAAAATGACCCTCACTGAAGCTGAACGCAGCCTCTCGCAACAACCCAGCTGGGGGCGCTGACGCAGAGGGGTTCCTACAACACTCACCTAGTGGGGAAAGCCTATACTACAAGGGGCCCACTCTCCAGAAGATAATTCCTGGTTTTTTGGGGTCCCCCCCTATGTCAAGACAAGCACCTTGCTTTGGCCCAGGCCACAGATGGCAACCGCTGCAGTTCTTTTAACGCAGGTGTTATATGGGCGCTCTTGGAGTACCGGTCGCCCACTAAATAGGCCAGCCAAACAAACTGAGTCGTCGTTACCCCCCGATCCTTCAGAAGAGTGTATCATAATGGATAATATTGGGCCGAATATAAGGCAGTCGTGCAAATTCCCACTCAGCACCGTGCATCTTCCCAAATAACCTTGGACAGGCTGTTCCTCAGCCCTTCCAATCTTCCAAGGTTGCCTTGAAATCGGAATAATCATAAACGTCCAGGGGTGGAGGAGCCTTGATAGGGTACATCCATCCTATTTCCATGAGTGGCTCACTTGAACTCCCTACGCTTGTGTTAGCTTCTAAGATGACTTACTTTGCTCATTGGCAGGTTCACTTATGGAATCCACTGCCACAAGGTGTGATGGCTTAGATACCTTTAAATGGTGGGATGGACCTCTTCTCTAGCCATTATGACCCAGAGCTATCCCAGTTTGGAGATATCAGGAGAATCGTGGCTTATTCGTGGGCTTCCAGAGACTTCTGGTCGGCCACCAGGGGGAATTAAACCCCTGACTTGATGGAACTTCAGGCTGATCCAAAGATCCTCCTTCGAAGCTCAACTTCTGCTCAAGCCAAGGGAAAGTTTGGGAAAATGTCCTCCGTGCCACAGACCCGCAGCCCTTTTTAAACATGGAGCAAACCCATCTGCAGGCCACAACTGGTTTATATACTCGGGTTGCCATTGTCTCTTGGTTTTCTCTCCCAGGCAGGTGCTGTCTCCCTCACCCTCCTGTGAGAGAAGGGTAGTTTAGCAAAAATCTTGGCTCGTACCCTAGTGGGCCTTCTCCCTGCTTTTGAAAACATCCTACCATCAGTTCTAAACCAAATGGGGATCTGAATTGCCTTGGCATGCAGTCGGTGTTGGCAAAGCCTTCTCTGGACCCCAGCAATGGAGCTGGAGCTCCCCCTTCTGGGAGACACTGTGTCTTCTCTGGAGAAGCTCAGCAGAAGAGAACCAATCAGGCTTGTTTTGGCAACATCGTCTGAAAGGTGCTTAGAAGCATACAGATTTCATCAGGCGCACACATGTGCATTATGAGCCTGTGTGGAAAGGTGGGC